GGTATGTCTCCCATAGTGTAACGTATAGTGACCACACTCCTGCTGTTAGCACACTTCCTCTCAATCCAGCCCTTAAATCGTTAGGAGTCTGGACAGAGCTCTTCCTGCAATCTCATGAAATGGAATGCAGGATTCCAGGTGTACACAATCTATCAACAAGCTTGAAGTGAACATACCCATGATAGACTCACTTTCTGAGATGGATTTAATTTGATTACTATGTTTATCTCAAGTTGTACCCATTTTTGAGAGTATCCATTTAAAATTTTAATTCATTGTGTGTGTGTGTGTGTGTGTGTGTGTGTGTGTGTGTGTGTGTGTGGATCCGCATGAATTCATGAATTCCTGTCTGGAGTACCCAAGGAGGACTGAAGAGGGCACCTTCAGATACTCTTCCTGCTCTGAGCCAGGGGCTCCATCATCACACCTATAACTGGCCAGCTGGAAGGACATCGAGGCAGAGGGCCACCTCTTCCCTTCTCAAAAGCATAAATTTAGCCTTGGAAGGGTTCTACCAGGGAAGAAATTGAAGTTGAAGGAGGGGAGTGTACTTGACCTTGGTCACATTGTCATCGGGGAACCTAGGACTTAGAGGCAGTCTCAAGTACTCCCTCAAGCTCATTCTCAGCCTGGAGTCCAGATCTGTTTTGTTGAACACTGGAAATCCCAAGTTCATGATTCTGACTTTCTACCTGTTTCTGACTTCATGACAGATACAGTCTCTTCCTTCCTTCCAACTAAGGTACCCTGTGCTTGCCTGGCAGGTATCAAGTCTGGGTTTCTTTCCTCAGCGTCTTATCAAACTGGCAATATTCTGATCCTAGCACTTGGGAGGCAGACTCTGCAGGTCCAGAAGTTCAGGGCTATCCTCAGATCCATGGTGAGTGTGAGGCCTATCTGGGTTCCATGAAACCACACCTTGAAAATGTTAATTGAAGGCTTAGAGATTTGGAAGCTGTGGATATTGGAGTATTAAGGATGGAAGGAGGGACCATGAAAACTCACAGGTCTGTTCCTGAGACTTGGTGTGTGTGCCGGTTCTGAATGTGAGATGAAGGGAACCTGGCAGAGGAATGAAAGCAATGCAGTTATTTGGGAGAAAGTGAATGAAGTATAAAACCTGGTCTATGGTAATTTGGCTGCTTGGCTTTGAAGTTAGATTTTTGGTGCCTATAAGTTCTTAGAAATCCTAGCCATTTCGTTTTGCCTTCAACCTTTCTCTCTGTTTACCACGAGGCATTGATAATAGGTGGACAGAGCCAGGAGTTGTCCTCAATGAGAAATGAGGCAGGAGTTGGCAGCACCACTGATGTCCATGGCTTGAAATGATAATGAGCTAGAAGCTAAAGTCAGTGTGATGTGTCCAGGGAGGGTTCCTGTATGAGGATTGTAGGATGCAGTGTGGGGGTAAAGTTGTTTGAGCATCAGGCATTTGAGACATCTGTGGGAGATCCTTAACCTTCCAGAAGATTTCAGACACCAGCTTGCTATTCTCCTCTTCATTCACTCTCTATATTCTACTTTCCAGAGCTTAGAATTGGATCTGAATAACTCCAATGAGTGTAATATGATAATTTATAAATAGACGATTTTCATTTACCATACTCTTTACAGGTCTGGCCATGCTAGCACATGCCCACACTTCCTTCCCTGTGAGGACAAATAATACCTATGTGTTGCAATACAATATGCTGATCTATTTACCCTCTGATGGGTATTTAGACCTTCCCAGCTCTTAGCTTACAGTGATCAGTGAGTGTTAGTATACAATAAAAAGTTTTACTCAACAAGTAAACTTGTGAGTCTTCATTCTCCTACCAGACATTGAGAGATACACAATAGTGATGATCTAGAATATAAAGGATTCCACTTTGGTCTCTGACAGAAGTCTGAAGGCCTTTTGTATAGCATGAAAGAATCACCTTTGGGTCCCAGTCAACTTTTAATTTCCAGAATATTTAACTGTATTAATTCATTTGACCATTCTAAGATTTTTGAGTATTTAAGTTCGAGTCTTTTAAAAACTCTGGAATGTTCATTTATTTAATGTAATTTTGAGCATGCAATTTTTCCTTTGGGAATGAATTCTAGGTGATGACATTGTCAAAGGCAGGATTCCCTTTCTGTTTTGGTGAAAGGATCCTGCCATGTTTGCACCCAAAACTCAGTTCCAACATTTATCTTTATTCAACTGCATTGCACACCTATCAAGTTATGTGATCTATATATTTTATATGCTGTATATATATATATATTGTGTGTGTGTGTGTGTGTGTGTGTGTGAATGGAAAATGAGATCCTTTCAGTATTTTGCTGTATATAACAACTCTCAATTTCTTTCATGTCTATATTAACTTCTAAGTAAATTCAGATTTTCTTTGGAGTGATATTAAAATGTATGCTGAAATTTTAACTACTTGGAAAACAGGGGATGTGGACCTCTGTGAGTTTGAATCAAGCCTCCTCTACCTAGCGAGATCCAGACCAGCCAGTGCTGTGTAGTGAAAACCTGTGACCTCTTCGGATGTTTGTCTTCATTTTGTAACATGGTATGTACTCACTCGTAAGCGAATATTAGATATAGAGCAAAGGATAACCAGCCTACAATCCACAACCTCAGAGAAGCTAGGAAACAAGAAGGACTCTAAGTGAGACCTACAGTTTGGGGAAAGAACACAGAAGGAGAGCAGGAAAATAGATACCCCAATAGAGGGAGCCATTATAGGTTTAAAGAGAAATCTGACACTAGGGAAATCTCAAAGGATCCACAAGGATGGAAAGAAAGTCCTCAGGATAGGATGTAGACTAATGATTAATAGGGAATGGGTCTTATTAGCTGATAGAATTTCAGTTTTAGAAGATTAAAAATGATTATGGAGACAGAAATATTAATGATAGGAATCGTGCATTTAAATATGGCATTTTCTTAGGACAGAGTTGCCATGGAGTGAAGGGAACATGATTTCGGTGTCTGTCTTGGTCTGCTTGTAGTTACACTGGATTTGTTTTAAATCCAATTAACCAAGTTCATTTTACCTATGTATGCATGAAACCTCACAATTATGTGTTAAATAGGAGCTGTTCTAATCAATCTGCGTTCTGTGTGAACCTTTTGAAATTTTTTGTTATGTCTGAATACATCTGCTAGTGCGGTGGTAGATGGTAGAGTTAATGTTAAGATTTTTATTTCTGGGTGGCCGGACTTCATAGTTCATATTGACTAACAAAGTAGTAATATTAGGAGGTGTTTGTGGTGGTGGTCTATCAATGGATTTCAGTGGGAAAGTCTTACAAAAAATCCCTCTAGGAGAAAAGTCACTTAGAATACATCTGTTTCTCGAGGGCAGATTTTCTTCTGATTATAGCATTGGGTAAAAATTCAACTTTGATAAATGTTGAAAAAGTAGTTTTAAGACACAAAGTTTCCTTGCCAATTCTATAACCTGCCACTCTCTCACTTGCTTTCAGTTGTTTCCACATGGAGATGAGACTGGAGAAATAGCTCAGAGCAGGAGTATTCAAACAAGATTGTTTTTAATTTAAATAATCATTTTAAAAACAATGAGTATTCATTGTTCTTGCAGGGAACCTCATGGCCTCTCCTAATAAAATGCAAGTGTGGTTCCCTGGGATCTTATGCCCTCCTGAGCTCCAAGGGCTTCTGTACACACATGGTACACATACACACGGTGGTATACAAATATCTATAAGTAAATATTTTCTTAAAAGTAAAACTAATTATACAGTGGTTCTCTACTTCCTTAATGCTGCAACTCTTTAGAGCAGTTCATGTTTTGGTGACCCAAAACTATAAAATTCCGTTGCTACTTCATAATTTTCCTATAGCTATGAATTGTAATGTATTTATCTGATAGGTAGGGTGTATGATACGTGATCTCTTTGGGGTTGCTACACACAAGTTAAGAGCTATTCCTTTAGATTACATTTTACAATATTGTTTTAAAGGACCAACTTCTTTATTGTTATTTATAGCAAATGGATAGTGACTAACAGTGTATAAAATATTCAGGTTTAGTGGTTTATTATTTCTGTATGTTTATGTGGATCTGTGTTCTTGGATGAAGGCGTCTGTGGGAGCCTGGGGAGCACATCAGATACCACAGAGCTGGAGTCAGTCAGTTTTGAGCAAAAATGTAGGTACTGTGGTTTGAACTCTAGCCTTCTGGAAATGGGGGAGCATTTTAACTATCTAGTTACCTTTACAGCTTGTCTTTGAAGAAAAAAAGTGCAAAGCTTGGGTCTTATTCCTGGAACATGGGAAAACATTTATATCATGCTTTAACTTGAGATTCTAGATATGATCCTCATGGTTCCCACCTTCTGCACTGTGATGTTTTGTCTTTTAGGATCATGGAATGAATTACAGTTCATTTGGATGTCAGCTGCACTGAGAATGACACCAAGTATAGACACGTCATAAACTTCGCTCTCATCCAGAAGTGTAAGAGGATCAGGATCTCTTCAGTTTTAAACTCTAGCACTCTAAGACAGCCATCAAAGAAGCATTAATGTTTTCAAACATGCTTAGATTTTATTAAGTGCATTTAATCTAAATATTGCAGAGTGGTGAGAATAAAGATGGATGAGGGCAGGACACTGTGCACAACCCTGAAATGAGCTCCCAGTATCAAGTGTGCACCATGGGACAAGGTATATAGGAGGATTATGATGAAGAGAAAAAAGTTTTCAGATCAATTCTTGCTGTTCCACACCAGACAAACACCCCTCTTCTTTCTTTCCTCTTTGATCCAGGGATAATGCAATATATTCAGCTTAGTTTTCTTTTGTACGGCTGCCAGTAGCATCTGTGATTCCTTAGAAAATGCAGATTTGTCCAGTCTGGAATGAATAAGAGATCTTTTAATTTTTATTGCACTTACTTATTGGTATGTGTTTATACAGACACATTGAGTGTACACATACCAAGATCAGAGGACAATTCAGAAGTCCATCCTCCCCCTTCTAGCATGTGAATACCAAGTTGTCAGGCTCGGCAGCCAGTGACTTCACCCACTGTGTCCTGTCACCATCCCAAGTTTGGTTGCCAATCATTTGCCTCTCTTTACCCCTATGACTACCTCTTTGTCACTCTTCCTTGGGAATGAATTAGGTGTAAAGAGAAGGCCTGATTCTCTCCTACAGAGTAGGGCTCCTCTCATGTGTATAGATATGTAATATAGACATCCATATAAATCTTCTCTTAAAATGTTAGGATTAAAGTTAAAAAACATTGTAGTGTGACTGACTGATTTCACCCATTCATTGTTTAAATGCTTAACCACAATAATTATTATTCTTTATTCTGCATTATAACATAATATTGTGGTGACTTTACTCAAATGTGTATAATTAATGTCACCCATCATCAGTCTACTAATTATGTATGTTAAGGGTGTCCCTCTGGCATCCCTAGACACTTCTATGAGACACTTGAAGTTCATGCTACACCTTAGCTCACCCATGTATATCTGATGCTCTTCTATTCTCACTGCCTATTCTCCAATTCCATTATTAGTAACCTTACAAAACAATTACCAAAAGCTTATCCTTATACCTATATTTAAAACACTGTTTTTTCAGATTTTCATATGTATAAAATATTGATCATATCCTTTCCCTCATTTACCTCTGACCCCTCCACATTCCTTTCCAAATTACATGTTCTTTTCTTCCCCAATAGCTCCCTGAGTCCACTAATGATGGCCATGTATGTTTGGATGATGGCACATGCTCTAGAGCATATGTAACCTACCAGAGCACACATACCTAAAGAAAACTTAACTCTCCTTCCTCTTGAAGCCATCAAACGCCCCTAGCTCCTCAGCTAAGGGTAGGAGTCACCAACTCCTTCTCTATTCCTGCTGGAATAGTGAATGGCTAGATGTTGTGCAGGTCTTGTGCAGGCAGCCACTGCTACTGTCAGTTCAAGAGTAGACCTTCTTTGTCAAGTCTAGAAGAGGCTATTGTGTAGGAGTCCTTCCAACACTTACAATCTTTCTATCTCCTTTTCTTCAATGGTCCATGAACCTTGGAAGTGTGGGCTAGTTTGTGATACCCCTCCATTTTAAAAATAATGTCTTAAGCAGTCAACACTCAACACATTATTTTTTCACGAAAACTTACCCTTAGATTTTTGGGCATTAGGTTCCCCTGAATTTCACAAATAGTGATTGGTATATATGTCTCTCTCAAAGACTACAACTAGCTTCCTGTCTGCTTTTTATTCACTAGTATTAACCACTCTGTGCCCCTCCCCAGCTCTGCTACCATCTCATCCTAACCTGTACATTAATCTTTATAGCCCCTTATAGGACCCAAGTCTATAGGGCAGAGGCCTGAAACACTTTTTTCCCTTACAGAATAAACATCCAGACATCTCCACAAGAACTCATCTAATCAAACTTTACATATGGAATTAGTTTTCTAAGCTGGGTCTGAACATTTATGGGTAATGTAGGTGGGAAGCAGTGTCTGTAAGTAGAATGGTAGTCATTGGTTAGGTGAGTGTGTCTCCCAGAAGCCATGAAAATGCCCGATCAAGTTGTGCCCATTGGTATAATACTTGCATGATAGTTGTAGGAGTAGCCAATTGCTTTTTGATTGGATTATGATGCCTCCTCCATAGGAGTGATTTAAGGTCTGCCACTATAAACAATGCCAAAATCACATGGCTTAGGAGATCACAGGCCCCAGAGGAAAACCTACTGTTGATCACTTAAATGGGCACATTGTCAAATTTCCTTCTAAAAATTTACATTTATACCCATAGATGTGTGATTCTCACTGTCTTGGTCAAAGAAGCTGTTTTTCTCCCTCTGGATAGTGGTTAATGCAGATTCACAACTGGTGGAACATGCTTAGAGCAAGTGACCATGAATGCTGAACCACAGATGTGCATTCCCCAATCCAAGGTTCAGGGATTATGAAAGAAGAGGCAGATAGACCTTATGTGCTGAGGATGTGCTGGGAAGAAGCACTACAAAATGCTGTCCTTTAGAGATGATGTGACCATCCTATGCATCAACTCACAGTTGATGCTGAGGTTGCCAGCACAAAACCTGCATTCAAAATCCCAACATGGACTGGGGAGGGACTCTGAGACCCACCCCTAACAGTGGAACTATTAGTATCTAAAGGCTGCTGAGTGACAATGCCTTTTAAGATTTGGCTGTTGGTAGGCTGCCCATGCCCCCGTGGATGACTCCATACCCATAGGCACATGGTCAAAAGGACTTAGACTCAGGGGGTTATAATTGAGATTGGAGGGTCCCTGGGGGGTGGAGTTTGTTAGTGGGGTGTGGACTATGATCAAATCATGTTGAATATATGTATGAAAATTTCAAAGCATACGTGAATTATTATAATTAACTTCTGGGTTGGAGATTTGGCTCATTGGTGAAGGACTACTGGATATTCTTCTAGTGACTAGGGTTCAATTCCCAGCACTTACATGTGGGCTCACAAATATTGTAACTCTGTTGCAAGGGATTTCTTGTCCTCTTCTGGCCTTTGCAGGCAACAGGCAGGCATGTGGTGCATAGAATTGCATGAGAGGAAAAAAATCACACCTAAAATCTATTAAGATGAATTTGGTGTTGAAAAAGTGTTTTTCCTTGACAGACCACTGAAGTGACTCACACAAAGTCGGCTATATGTGATCTCATGCTTCTAAATATCATTTATTACCTTTACTCTTTTTCTAAATGTTACACACACAGACACACACACACACGATACACACGTGTGTGTGTGTGTGTGTGTGTGTGTGTGTGTACTCATGAAAGGACACAAACCCACAGATGATCCCAATGTCCTAGAGGACAAAGGTGTCCTTAGCATCAGAACTCTCCAGCCCAGTGTAAGCAGGACTGAGTCTCAGCAAACCAACAGGGGAGACCTTGCTCTGATGTCACTCCTGACCCTGGGAGGCTGCTAGTATTCACCCCAGCACCTTCAATGACATCACCTCTGACCCTGGAGACAGTGAGTACTCACCCCAGCACCTTCAAGGTACAGCCTTTGTGATTCAAAGCCTCACACAGCAGCTCTAGTCCATCAGGGTCAAAGGTCATCCAGTCCAGGTTCAGGCTGGTCAGTGTTTGGCATTTGGTGAGAGCCATGGCAAGGTCTGCACAAGAGCTAGTGGTAAACTCACACATGTCTAACCTGTGACAAGGAAAATTCCAGAAAAGGAAAGTGGTATTGGGTGACAGTTCCAGGCTTCTGAGCAAAGAAATAACCAGCCCCACATGTTCACAGTATGCAAAAGCAATAAGCAAATCCATGTCTCATGGAACAGTATATTTTATTATTTGAGATTATCCCCCATGTATACAATATGTCTTGATTACATCTGTCTACATTCTACACTCTCAACTCCTCCCAGATCTCCTTATTCCTTACCTCAAGCAGCTTCATAGTTTTAAACCCACTAGGTAAGTGGTCTTAACCTGTGTGTCATGACCTCTATGGGGTCAAGTGACCCTTTCACAGGGGTCACATATCCCACATCCTGCACATCAGAAAATGGCAATGTGTTTCACACATGTGTTGCTCTGAAGGAGCAACAAATGATCTTATGGTGGAGTCAGCACAACATGAGGAGCTGTATTTAAAGGGTCGAAGCTTCAGGAAAGTTGAGAAGCACTGCACTAGGCTCAGTTATCATTGCCTTAGGGCTTGGGTTTAGGACTGCCCACTGGAGCACAATAACTAGGCTTAATCTCTGAAGAAAACTGGCTTTCCTTCCATCACCAGCCATCAGCTGCCCATAGCTCCTTGGCTAGGGCTGGGCTTCTTGAGACGCTCTGCTCTTCCTTCTGGGATTTTGACTGGCTTCACTCATGCCAAGTTCTGTAAATTGGCGAAGACTCTGTGTTTGGGCAATTCATAGTCCCTAAGGGAGAACTCATTACTATTGCTTTGTTAAGGGGACATAATAAAATTACCTTCTAAATCAGTGGTTCTCAACCATCCTAATGCTGTGACAGTTTAATACAGGTCCTCATATTGTGGTGACACCCCCATCACAAAAGTATTTTCATTGCTACTTCTGTAATATTGCTACTTTTATGATTCATAATGTAAATATCTCTGCTTTCTGATGGTCTTAGGTGACCCCTGTAAATGGATATTTGACCCCTCTAAAGGTCATGACCCACAGGAGGAGAACCACTTTTCTAAATGCTTGGTATTGTTATGTTAGTTCATCCCTCAAGCCTCCTCAGAGAAGCTTCCTTTTGCAATGGACTGGTTAATACAGACTCACAGGGGTCAACATTCTGAGAGACTCCAGAATACTTAGCCTCTAATGGACCATCTATATCACCCCTTCCCCAAAGGCTCAGAAACATCACAGAAGAGGGCCCAGCAATAAAGAACCAAATATTTTCATGATAAAAACATGACAGGGCAATTATGCTGAAACCAACAGCACCCATGGTTGTCTGTACAAGACCTGTGTAATAATACTTTTCTCAAAAATTGAGACTAGGCTATGTGGCATTCTTTGTAATCCTATTGTCTTAGGGTTTCTATTGCTGTGAAAAGACATCACGACACAGCAACTCTTATACAGGAAAACATTGAGTTGGCTCTCTTTCAGTTCATAGATTCAGTCTGTTATGGTGTTGTGTAAGCAGACATAGTGATGGAGAAGTAGCTGACAGTTTTTACATCTTGACCCACAGGCAACAGGACATGGTCTGACACACTATGTGTGGCTTTTGCTAATAAGAGACCTCAGGCCCATCTCCAAAATGACACTTCCTCCAACAAGACCAACCTATAACAAAGTCAAATCTCCTAATAGTGCCACTCCCTTTGGGGACATACCTTTTTTTTTCTTTGGTTTTTCGAGACAGGGTTTCTCTGTGGCTTTGGAGGCTGTCCTGGAACTCGCTTGGTACTCCAGGCTGGTCTCGAACTTACAGAGATCCGCCTGCCTCTGCCTCCCAAGTGCTGGGATTAAAGGTGTGCGCATACCTATTAACCCTCTAGCTTTTTCTCATTGAGTTGGGAACCCTTCCCATGATTCACAGTTAGTAAAGACTCACCCAAGGCACTGTAATTTACATTCAGGATTCCTCAGAGCTTTACATAGCTGTTGGACGCCTGTGTCTTGTATGTTATTGTTGCCCAGTTTCAGGGTTTTTAGATTTTTCTGGCAAGAAAGGACAGCAGAGATCCTCTCACAACAGGCTGAAGTGAGACTGCAACCAGTCAACCTGGGAAAACACACATGCAAGCAGACTGATTATGAGGCGCATTCCTTTTGTTTTGAATTCTTCTCAACTTTATTTTTTAGAACTTCATATGAGCTCTGCTTCTACATCCCTCCACCTTACCTCCGATTCCTCCCAATTTCCCCAAATTAATAATCTCTTTAGTGTTGTTACTTTTATATACATATGTGTATATATGTATGTATGTGTTCATGCATGCACACATGTACTTGAATATGTAACCTAATAGTCCATTTAGCTTTGCTTGTACATATGATGTGCCCAGTGATTGTTTAACCCTATAGAGATTGCCGCTTGGTGTGACATATTCTCCCTTCTCAACAGCCATTCCTTACCTCTCTTTTCTTTTTGAGAAAGTGTCTCATGTGCTAATCTCACCTCAGACTCATTACATAGCTGAGCATGACCTGCAACTTCTGACCCTCCCCCTCTACCTACTAACTCTAAGATAGGTTTGTAACTATCACCTTTTTTAAAGGCCTTCAGTAGCGTCAAACACAGGGCCCTAAATGCTAAATAGGCATTCTACCAACTCAGCTACATCCCTAGGCCATGATATTCCATCTTATCTGCTTCACATATGCCCACTTATCTGTAGGAAACAAAATGTCCAATCCCTTCTGAAATATTGAGGATGCTTTTCCATCCTGGGCACTCTGCTCCACTCTGACTCACTGCAATTCTTCTGCCTTGCAATTTCCCTGATGAAATTACAGATGCCCTGAAAATAAGTGAGGCTAACTTATCCTTGATTTCATATATCTGTGCAGATGACAACATGCAGTGTACTTCTGCCAGTATTTAACATAATACCTCCTAAAATGTTCCCTTAGCCTCAAATCATGGTTCCCCATGGCACTTACAATAATGGCTAAGAGAGACATTGGGGGACAGAAGGAAGATAATAAGTATAAGATACATGAAGATGGAGAAGAATGAAAATGAATGCATAGATCTTCAATATAGACATCAGGGACAAACATTAGATCTGTAGGGAACACATAGTAAGTAGTACATGATGTTTAGATTGATAATGGATAGGTGTTAGGCAGATTATAGGAAGAGATGTATAATATGTACATAAAGACAATAAATTTGTAAATGGGAAAAAGGGAAGGATGCTAAATTCATTGATGACAGATAATAGGTGGGTAGATATATGATAGGCATAATAAATATGGATACATAAACATATGCATAGAATCATGATTGGTGGAGGTATATATAGATATGATTTATGCAGGTCTAATAGATGTGTGTATTAATGCTTCTGAAGCAGGGATGAATTTTACACTCCAGGGCATTCCTGTAGCCTTTGGGGCTTCTTTCATCAGGGCAGTAATCCCACTCCTGGCGACTCACTTTCATGACCCAATCACCAAGAGCTCCATAACTGGTAGGCTTCACCAGAGTCTGAGGAGACACTGACATTCACACAAGTCTACCCTCCCACTTCCTTCTGAAGGCCAGAATCAGAAACTGCATTCCCTGAAAGGAATAACAACATATCCCTACCATAACTCCTGCAGGGTGCACACTGGTTTTTTCAAAGCTTCACACAGAATGTTCACTCCAGCATCTTCCAGGAAATTTGAGCCCAGGTCAAGGAGTGAGAGGAACTTGTTGCACAAAAGGGCTTCATAGAGATGGCCACAGGCAATGAAGGTGAGACAGCAATGTGACAGCCTGCAAAGAGCATTCCCCATCAGCAGCTCGCTTATCTTCACAAAATTACATGTCCCTGCAAAGAATGGCATGTTCTTCCCATACTGAATTTCCAGTTTCATGAAAACATAGTGAAATAGGCTGCTCCATAGATAAAGGAGCATGCCACCAAGTCTGAGGACCCAAGTTCAATCCCACATGGTGGAAGGAAATAACCAACCCCATGAGGTGTCTTGTCTTCCATATGTGAGTACACACACACACACACACACACACACACACACACACACACACACAGAGAGAGAGAGAGAGAGAGAGAGAGAGAGAGAGAGAGAGAATGTGGATGGAAATCTTTTTGAAAAAAGGTTTTGAAATCCTGAGGTTATACATAGATGTTTCCCAATTTGATTGATTTGTCTACTTGTTTACAAAGCAATCAACTAATTCTTCCAAATATCAGAAATTTACCATGTTGCAGATGCCTGCCCTAGTGGGATATCTTCTTTTTGTCTGTGTGAGTGTGTGTCTGTGTGTCTGTGCAGGTGCACATGCAGGTGGAGGTCAGAGGACAAGCTCATGTTTCACATGCTGCAACACTGCACACTCCCTATGTGACAGAGTCTCTCAGTGGACTGGAACTCATTAGATGAGGCTGTTGCCCGGGGAGCCACGGGGATCCTGCTGTCTTCATGTCTTCAGTGTTTAACTGCACTTGGCTTTTTCCTATGGTTCTGGGGATAAAACATGTCATCATGCTAGACTGACAAGGGTTTTACCCACGTAGCTATTATTGCAGCCCAATACTGTTACTTCATTTGAGATATATTTCCTAATGCTTTAATTGTATGGGTGAATGCAAGTAATTTAAAGACTAGATAAAATTTGAAATAACTCATGCCTAATGTTACTCTTTGAAATTACTAGACATACAGGGTTGACTTCAAATGTACTCTTTAATAACTAGCAATTAAATTACAGAATGATTTTGTCATAGGATGTTATTTAGTCCTACCTCTTAAGAAACATCCATCATTTTCTATAGTGTGTGTTTCTCCTTTTCTTTTACACATCTCATTTCAGAACTGGAGATATCAAACAGCATTTTAAGATCACTGATAAGTATACAGAGAACCTGGGTTTCAGGGCAAAGAACACACATAACACCTGTAGCTCCAGGAGACTATTGACCTCTGGCCTCTGCATGCTCATGCACTCACGTGGTACACAGAATATTACACAAGTGCTTTCATGGATCCATCCCAGGTCAACACACAAAGGAACTCAGATAATACATCAAACTATCTACGAGCTATGTGCACAAATTTTATATACCATGCAAATAAACTTCATGTCTGAACTTAGGGAGCATCACCAAGACTCACGATATGAAAATATTCCACATATATAAATGGAATATGAAACATTTCCGGTCTAGTCATGAGTGGTTCATGTAAGAGGTACTTAATGTGCAATTTTTCTTCTGTGAACAGATGTCTCCCTAGTGATGAACATTCAAAGCTCTTATATTTTATATGAATCTTCATGTCTGTAAGCTGCACATATACATACTGCTGCATGAGTAGTGGACTCAGGACACAATTTTGTGTCTGTATACTCTTTTCCACAAACTCAGGTATCTTTGAGCACAATCCCCAAGTTATCTGGTATGGCTTCCCTGAGACAATAGTCTTGCAGAATGCTACCATGAGGAATCAACCTCAAGCTCAGGGCAGGAGACAGCTCATGATGACTTAGGTAAGAAGTAGGAAGGCCTGTCTCAGAAAGGAATGTTTTTTTATTTATATTCTCCTTTGGCCTTGTAGCCAGTCTCTTTCCAAAACCATCATCCTTCCTCATAATAATGATATTAAGATGAAATCATGTATCAGGAATTTCAGAGCTACCCTTGCCTTTTTCTTAAGCTAATCTCAAGGTATTTCTGTTTATATTCACTCCACTTACTGATATGGTACTGAGGCAGGGACTAGTGACATAGTTTAATGACACATTTCATGGACTCCTGCATCCCTCAGTGGGCATTTGACAACCTTTACCACAGTTGCACCCATATGCAGGGTTCTGTAAAGTCTCCAGAGCATGCTTCCCAAGGCAAACTCACATCAGTGTTTCCAGGACACAGTTTGGATGTTTCAGGATTTGGCACAGTAGCATCACTCCTTTGTTCTTCAAGGGATTTTCAACCAATGATAGATGTTTTACCTTGCATTTGGTTAGGGAAGTAGCAATTACACCACAATCCTCACTGGAGATGTCACATTTCCCCAACCTATATGTGAGATCCATGTCACAGATTAGCAATAACATCTTTAGGTAATCTATGTAAGGCTACCTATTGTTCAAACAAATGTCCCAGATTCTAATCCTGTGCATCCTAGTCTACATCTAATCATAGGCTTATTTAATTCATGAGTATAATTATGTGCCTATAATAGTGAATGATAGAGTTCTACTGATTGGGAAAAAGCCAAAGTCACTGTTTTTCAGATATGGATAACTTTTACAGTGATCCATTTAGAAATACTTGGTAATGTTATCGTTGCTCAAAAAACCAACAGAGAGAGAGAGAGAGAGGGTGTTATGGGAATGTACTGGGTAGAAGTCATGGCATTTAGTGCATAGAGAGACCCCTTCACTAAAATATGGTCTGTAACACAGTATGTCTGATTATCAATATCAGTGAACATAGGAATACACAGACACACACTAAACACCCACAGGCATATTTAACAAAGAGAAAAATAACTATCATAATGAAATTCATTTTATACTACATGTACAATGCAAAGAAAAACGTTCACAGTTAAACCTAAAAAGTGATTTTTTAAAATAATCTTAGAGAGGCACTCAACTGTAGACACTGCCCTGACTTACAGCAACTCCTCCACTCTGCATGTTGGGCATGTCAGCAGCACAGAGCACATCTTCCCAACCACATCACTGGAAAGTCTAGTGCCATAGAGATTCAGGGATTTCAGGTGAGGTAGACGAAGAAGTGTGGGAAATAAGGCACCGTCTCCAAAGTTCGTCATGAAGGAACAGCTGTGGAACAAGGCCAAATAACACATTATACCAGGCCGTGTGGGTCCATGGCAAAGCAAATTGTACATATGCTCTTAACACTTTGACTCACACACCATGGGTGTTTGGGCATTCTGGCTACCCCACAAGTTCTGGCTGGTTATCTCCAAGTGGCAGACAAACACAGAGGCCCAAGATTCTCTCTCCCTTTCTTCTGTTTCCCCCTCCTCTGTGTAACATATAGAACCTTCTAAGAAGACTGGCATGTACTCTCACACTAAACATTGGCTGTCATGGCTAATCAAGGCTTCCAACTCAACATTATCTAAGTAAGGAACATGAATTGAAGAATTGCCTCCTTCAGAGTGTTATGTCTGTGGGGAATTTTCTTGATAGGCAATTGTCATAGAAATGCCAGTTTGAGTATCATTATTCTTGGGCAGCTAGGGCTGATGTGAATAAGAAAGATTGTTGATCAGGCCAGTGGGAGACAAGCCAGGAAGCAGCGTTCCTCCATGGTCCCTGCTTCAGTTGCTATCTTCAGGTTCCTGCCTTGACTTCCCTTGGTGATAGATTAGGACCTAGGATTGGTAAAATAGAATAAACCATTTCATTAATGGGCTTGACATATGGCTCAGTGTTAAGAGCACACACTGTCTACACTTCAGAACACCGGAATTCTGTTCCTAGCACTCATATTTGGCAGCTCACTGCTTTTTGTGACTCTGACTCCACAAGACCCAATTCAGATGCAGACATATATATACACAATAAAATTAGCCTTTAAAATTGAATTTTTCATTAACATTCATTGCAGTCTCTAGAAATTATTCAGTTCCTGTTGGCTGTGTCCATAAACATGAATATGTATGCACGTGCACGCATGCACACACACACACACACACACACACACACACACACAATGCATAGATGTAAACAAACCACCTAGAAATCTTATGTATGGGTGTGTGACATAGAAAACTTCAAATATGTGACTCCTGTAATATCACATGTTACTTTGGATTTAGTTCTGCATTGCTATGAATTAGTCATCTTCAACTAGAGAAGGAATTTCGCCAGTCTATTTAAAGGATGGGTGACTGGATGAAGGTTTTATGATGGCATATAAGGTAGTCGTCAATCTCATTATCCAGGAAGGGCATTTAAGGTAGCCTTTCCACTATTGCTTAGTTTACCAGTTGGTGTCATCCTTGTAGATCTCTGGAGCTCTCACTAGTGGCAAAGTCAAACCTATAATGACTCTATTATGGTATCTCTAAGCCTTCTCTCTTCTATTCTTCCCCAGACTCAACCTTCCTGCTTTCCCATGTCCCTCCCCCTCTCTATTTCCCTGATCCCTCTCCCCCCATGTTCCCAATCCTCCCAGGAGATGCTGTTCTATTCCCCTTCTCTGGGGGTACTGTGCATATCTCTCTTGGGGTTCTCCCTGTTTCCCAGACTCATTGGCAGTAGGATTGTAGGATGGCACTCCTCTGATCCACGTCTAAAATCCATATATGAGTGAGTACATAGTATGTATTTTTGTGACTAGGTTACCTCACTCAGGCTGATTTCCTCTAGTACCATCCATTTGGAAGCAGAGGCAAATACCCACAGCTAAACACTGAATTGAACTCGTGGAACCCAGTTGCAGAGAGGGAGGAGTGATGAGCAGAGGAGTCAAGACCAGCTGGTGTATCCCACAGAAACTGGTGATGTGAACAAGGGGGAGCTCATGGACTCCAGACTGATGGCCGAGAGGCCAGCATGGGACTGATCCAGGCCCCCTAAATTTGGGTGCTAGTGAGGAGGCCTTGACAATCTGTGGGGCTTGGTGTAGTAGATCAGTATTTATCCCTGTCATACAAATGGACTTTGGGATCCCATTCCACATCAAGGGATGCTGTCTCAACCTGGACCCATGGGTGAGGGTCTAGGCCCTGCCATGGATGATATGACAGACTTTGGAGATCCCTCACGGAGGGCCTCACCCTCCCTGAGGGACAGAGTGGGGGTTGGGTGGGGGCTGGGGGATTAATGGGGGCAGAGGAGGAGGGGAAGGTGGGGGAGCAGGGATTGACAAGTGAAGCAAGTTTGTTTCTAATTAAAATTAAAAAGAGAAAAAGTGTTTTCCAGACTGAAGTTATACACACACACAAAAATAAAAACACAAAATGAAGGATGGGTGACTATCAAACTTACGACATGCTTTCGAGCTTAAACGCATTCAGAGGCATCTTAGGATCAGATATGGATAGACAAAGATTCTGAATCGCAGTTTCATTGAAATTACAGCTGTCCAGATCCAACACCTTCAAGTTCTGGAAAATACTGCATATTTCCCTCCATTCATTGTTTACTCGGCTGCAATTAGACAACACATTTTTCTTAGTAGCTCAATGCAATGCAAGAAATTCCTAAGAAGGGAAGATCACTCCCAACCCCCTGAGGGTACACAGGGTACTTAGACATACATGCAGGCAAGACATAACTACACAAACTAAAAAATAAATCTTTAAAAAAGAAAGTAGCACACAAGAGACAGAGACAGCAGAGAGAGCGAGCACCGTGGGCTACAAACTGATTATCTTCTGGGCATGGAACCACCACTGCAGTATTAATCCCACAAGAGCTATGGATGCCTCCACTGCTTGCAAAAGACCTGGTCTATTACCACTCAGTCATAAGATGGAGAGAGACTTGCTGAACCCTACCCATACCAGCTAAAATGATGATTCTTTGTGGACTCTGAGGGAGGAGTAGCCATCTCCAGTTTTGTGCACATAAGTAAGCCACCCAGGGTCTAATGCAGAGTTCCAAACACATGGACACACTGACAGCCCTAGTTAAGCTCAATCGCTGACAAAGAAAAAGATTTGAATGTGAGAAAGGAGCTAATGAAGTCAGTGTGATGAGTTGGAAGAACAGCAGTGACTAGATGGTGAGAGTAGCCACAGTGCAGGACACATATGCATGAAATTGCAAATGAATGCACTGAATAAAAATTGTGATGAAGAAGCATGTTTGAGGTGAGATGAACTAAACTGTGTTTGGGGAGACTCACTCTTAATGACTGCATAACTGAGGATATCCACACTTACTCTTTTCTCGAATGTCTCCTTTTTCAGTGAGAAAACAAATTCTATGTGAATTCAGTGAGACATTTGCAGGTCCTTAGTAAATAATAACTTGTATCCATTAGTATTATCATAAAAGTTGCAGCATATTTGAAAGATCAAGTATGAGCTAGCAGCCTAAAGCCAATGCAAGGCAAGCCAACCAGAGCAATATAGTAAGAACACAGCCTTAACTAAGACTTGAGTTCCTAGAATACTCTTCAGTGTAGTTAGCAGAGACATAAACATGGCTGTTGATAAAGGAAAACAGCCATACACTGCAGCAAAGCTGCTCACACTTCCACCTTGTAACATCTTTGTTCTTTGTATAAATGGAAAAAATCAAGACATGGCTGTTTAGTGTCACATAGACCCAATTGGCCATGGCAACACTCAGCCAAAATCCTGAATATGCCATCTAAACACTCAAGCATAGATTATAAGAATTTAGAAAACACCATGCTGTAGAGAGAAACCAGTGGGTAGGAGTTTAATGTACAAGAATCAGGAACTGAGTTCAGATGCACAGACTGACATAAAAGGTTGGGCCTGGATGCATGAGTCTGTTCTCCAGCATGAGAAAGGGGAAATGGGTAGATCCTGATACCTTACTGGGCTGTCAGCCTGGTCAAGGTGGAGAACTTCAAGGTTGGGGAGAGACTGTCTCAAGGGATTAAGATAGAAGACAATAGATAAGGAACCCACATCTTCCTCTGACCTCATGAATTCTTAAGGATACAATGTACACACAAGCACACCTATAAAATAGTGCGCTGGACACTAAGGCAACATTGAAAGAACTGAAGACAAGGTTCAGAGTTGTACTCACATCTTCCCTTGTATGAAGTCTTCCAAGTCACTGTCTTCCGGCTTATAGACATCTGAAAAAATTCTGTGTTCTATATGCATATGAAGTTTCTTTAATTTTTTAGATTTTGGCAGATAAATTGTAGCAGTTGACAATTCATTATGACTACCAATATGAACAGTCATTTCTTCAAATAGATCCAATACTTGTGTTTCAAATCGTTCATCCTGGTTTTCAAGAAGGCCATCAAACAACCTCAGGAGAATCAGTTTCTCCCTGCCTTCTCCTTGACTCAAACTTCTAAAGCATTTGAAGATTTCCTGTCTCATCGCTTTTGATGGTATAAGACCAAAGTGTGGATTCAGCATGGCAGCAACATTCTCAGTTGCAATTCCTAACACAAACATTCCAGGCATGAACAATTGGGTTTCACTATGAGCATAACTTTCACTTAGAAGTTGGGGTAGGCTTCCAATGATGGGGTTATGTTTCTCTTTGCCTTCTCTGAGGAAATAGAACAGGGCACCGAAATACCACTGTAGTGTAGGACTGTAAAACACAAAGCAGTCACCTCGAGTATTGAGAAAATTCATTTGTAGCCACACTGTCAACTCAGATTCACATATCCCGTTCCTCCTGAGATCCTCAGAGTTAAACACAAATACCCGTTTCCACATTCCCTCCACAGCCAAAGTACACAGGGTCTTTAATCGGGCTCTATTCTCTTTAGGTAGACATTTGTCATACTTTGATCTGAATGAACTCAATATAAAGCTTGCATACAAAGCTGAATCTGTGTCAAAAGGTAAGATTGCTTCCTCTCTCCTGGCACACTTCCACTTTATAGTACTACAGACCACCCAGCATAGATGAGGATTTTTGCATATACAGAACAATGGTTCATTGGCTGCTATATAATTAAAGACTTGTACGCCTTCATTAACTTCGAAGAACAACAAACAATATAACCTTATAGCTGAGTCAAGCAATCCCCCCAAAATTATTTTCCTTGGATACCGCAGCAATGGATAGATTTTTGGTTCACTTTGGGGTCCCAATTCAAGAATCAGAGAGGATTCTGGGAGCATTACTTTCTGTAGCAAACTACGCAAGACAATTTGTGTTGGCATACTCTTCTTCCAATCACTGCACAAGTCTGTCTGGAGTTCCAAGTCGAAGTTCAGGTAGTCAAATCCCTCTAGGATAAACAAGATTCTCCTAGGGTTGGATAAGACATCATCTAGTGCCTCTGAAGACTCAGACAACTTACTTAAGAGGAGCTGAGCTAAGCTTAACTCTGTGGTGTTGTTAAGTGAGATGAGAGAGAAGAAGAAAACATAGTGAAATCTGTTATTCCATAAGTCTCCTGATGCCCAATCCAACATTGCTCTTCTTAAGAAAGTGCTTTTTCCTATTCCGCTTTCGCCCAAGACAACTAAAGTGACTGGTTTTAACTGATCATCAAATACCTCTTTCAATGCACTGTACTGCCTTTTTATTGACACTTTGAAGTCTGAACTTTTCAAATAAATGTTATTCTCCTTGGTCCATATGTAGTTAAATATAGTCTTCATAATCTCTCTGTATGGACGTTGTTTACCTGAGTTTGATGAAATCAGAACACAAGGCAGTTAGGAATAGGATGCCCTTGAAAATGAATCACAGATTTTCTTAAATACATATCTAGAGTTTTCTACACATCTGGATGACCATTGAGGCAATGGGTCCCAAGGAAACGACCAAAGGAGAAGAGCCAAACCACCCCTTCCCCTGTAACAAGTTTCCATTTCCCTTCAACTGATATAGAGTTTTCTTACCATTGCATGTCAAACAATGTTTAGGTCTGGCCCTAAACCAACCAACAAACAGGTTCTTTCTACACCCAAACCTCTAGATACAGACTTCTACTGTATGCCAGTGTTTCCATGCTTGTGAACATGTGTGCTAACTTACTCAAATTGCTGTCATAAAGGGGGTATATGAATACTTTAGTACCAATAGAAGAGAAGGGATGACTCCAGATGGCAATGGTACTTAAAAGTTAAACCTCTGACCCCTCTAGAGAAAATAGTCTCCATATGTAGGGCCCCCTTCTCTACTTACAAAATACTACAATGGAAATAAAGTCTACTTTCACTTTCCCTGGGCAAGGGAAAAATAAACTCTTCTTTCCCTTACATTCTTTAATTCATAGATAAGAACTCACTAGCCTACCAGCTGCATCGTAGTACACACCTGTGGCCTAAACCCCAGACCCTCAGTTGTTTATTTTATCCCATCCAGGATGATAATGTATTTGATATATTGCCTATGAAACTATTATAAACAAACTGCAAACTCACTTCTGAGTGACAGCTACTATAAAACATGACTTTTGGGTAATGCATTAAAAATTTGCAAAGGGTAGCGTATCTCCCCAGGACCAAATCCATGACTATTTCATTTGTACTAATTTCATGGGGGGTTCTCAGAATAGTGTAACTCAAGTGTAAAACTTTCATGCCTTCAGTAACTCATTTCCAAGTGATTCTGTTTGTTAAGTTCTTAGTTTGATTTACTGTTCATAATTTCATGTTTAGTCAAAGCAAGATTTGATATTATAAAATGTTGAAGCTGGAAACATGACTCAATGGATGGGGACACATAACCAGCTCCAACATTTTGTCCTGTGATCTCCACAAGTGCCCAATGGTAAACTCACAGAAATAAGGAAACACATCAGTATGGGTTGGAGTAGTAGCTAAGAGTAAGAGTGAATATCGCTTTTGCAGAGGACCTGAATTCAGCACCCACATCAAGTGGTTCACAAATGCCTGCCACTCCACCTCCAGTGAATCGTATGCCTCTCACATCCAGGAACCTGCATTCTTCAACATATTCTCATGTGGTCACACCCACATAAGCCTAATAATAAACCTAAAAATAATAAATACAAAACGACATGCTAATGGTTTATGTGATAAAAATAAATACCAGGATGAGATGAACTTTCTCTGCTCCTTTATTTCAACCTATAAGGTCTAGATTGTTTGTATTATACAAATATTGTGACTAATTTCATAGATTTCTCTTTTTGTACCCTATGTCTGTTGCCCCTACTCCATGTTGCTGACAACAAATAAGTTATTTTTCAATTTCATCACGAATAGGGTAAATCCTATCATCTGGTGAGGAAAAACAACAAATAATGTCTCTCAACAGTCAAGGCAAGTCCAAGTAAAAACTTGCACCGCCCCAAACTTTGATATCCCTAGGCCTGGGAAACCATTTTATCAGAAGAGGAGAAAAGGTTTTACATTTCCACAGAGGACAGCCACTTAATTCAGTCACCCTAAGTCATCTACTATCTGTCACATGCTGTTGCAGCCTCTGGGATGTATGTGGTCCTGAAACCTGCTTGTAAATGAGGGGAACGTGTGGTGGCTTGAATTAGAAATTTCCCCCCATTGACTCATATGTGCCATCCTGAGTGAGGTAACCCAGCCACGAAAAGACAAGCGTGGTATGTACTCACTCATATGGATTTTAGGCATGAAGCAGGGAACTGCCAGCCTACAATCCTACAGCCAGAGAGTCTGGGAAACAGGGAGAACCCTAAGAGAAATATGCATGGTAACCCAGAGAAGGGGAACAGGACAGAATCTTCTGAGGGGCCTGGGAGCAAGTGGGGAGGGGAGAGGAAGCTGGGAGAAAGAGGGTGGTGAAGAGAAGGGGAGAGGAGGACATGGGGGAGCAGGAAGGTTTAGTCAGGGCAGGAATAGAGGAGAGAAGATGAGAGACACCATAACAGAAGGAGCCATTATAGGTTTGAAGAGAGATCTGGCACTAGTGAGTTGTCCAGAGTCCTACAAGGATGACACCAACTGGCAAACTAACCAATAGTGGAGAGGCTACCTTAAATGCCCTTCCCTTGATGACTTCCTTGTATGCCATCATAGAACCTTCATCCAGTGTGTGAAGGAAGCAGAGGCAGACACCCATAGCTAAACACTGAACTGAACTCCTGGAACCCAGTTGCAGAGAGGGTGGAGTGATGACCAAAGGGGTTAAGACTTGGCCAGTGAAACCCACAGAAACAGCTGACCTGAACAAGGAGGAGCTCATAGACCCCAGACTAATGATTAAGAGGCCAGCATGGGACTAATCCAGACCTCCTGATTGCAGGTGTCAGTGAGGAAGCCTCACCATTCTTTGGGACCTCAGGCAATATATCAGCATTTAGCCCTGTCATCCAGATGGACTTTGGGAGAGCCCATTCCACGTGGAGGGATGCCTAGGCTCTGCCCCAGATCACATAACAGCCTTTCAAGATTCCCTCATGAAGGGCTTCACCTTCCTTGGAGAGTGGAGTGGAAATTGGTGGAGGGGTTGGGCAAGGGGTTGGGCAAGGGTTGAAAGGAGGGGGGCGGTAGAGGAAGGGAGGAAGAGGGAACTGGAATTGATATGAGAAGCAAACTTGTTTCTAATTTTAATTAAATTTTAAAAAAAGGAAAAAAGTTTCCCCACTTAATGGTCTTGTCTGGAAGGTTTAAGAGGTGTGGCCTTGCTAGAGAAGGGTGTCGCTTAGGACAGGCACTGAGATTTTATAGCCTCAGCCTACTTCAGTTCATGCTTTCAGCTTCATGCTTGTAGCTGGCTTCCAGCCCGTATAACCATGCCTGTGTATTTTCTTACCTCTCTCCATGAGGCTCATCGTTTTGGGGCAGTACGCCAAAATAGTGTCCTTTTACAGGAGTTGGTTTTGTTCATGGTGCTTAATCAAAGAAACCAAAACGTAACTGATAAAACAACCACAGCCTGTTATACTCCATGTCTTGCATACATGTGTCTGCCTGGCCCTTCCCAAATTCCTGGCTCTTTATCCACGTGAGGAAACAGATGTAGTGACATTGATCACCTTGCTAAAGCTGACTAGACAATGAAGGACATGACTACGGGCCAGCTAAATGATGCACATGACTCCATATGCATCGTCATTTTTAGCTGACACTACCTACAACGAATGCATCTGTTACATATTAGTTCTGTCAAAGAATCATGAACAACAAATAGGAACATAATGCTAGTTAATATGAATCTGATGTGGGATGATGTAGTGGTAAATTATTCCCCCTGAAAGGACTGTGACATGCTCGCCCTACCTGGAGATCATCCAGGCATAATAATTTGAGATCTCCCTCTGCTGTCTCAAGAAATTCATAAGAAATAAAGGTGAGGTCTCTGGGAAAGGAGATGAAGGCCTATTCTTAGCATTAAATATCTTGCAAAAAGTATAAGTGCTAAAATAGAACTCCATCTCAGCTCAATGTGGCACATTTGTACCTGAAACACCAGAACTCAGGAATCTGAGGCAGGAAATCATGAGTTCAAGACTAGTATGGTCTATAGAGTAACTTTGAAGCCAGCCTTGGCTACGCAGTGACACATGTTCAAAGACAGAAAGAACGAACAAAAGAGAGGGGGGGAATGGAGGGAGAGAGGGGGGAAGAATTCTGTGATGAAACTCATTGTTTTGTATTTAATTTTTAAAAGCACAAGGAAAATAATCATTTTCTTCATGAATCATGAAAGCAACATTAATGTTAGGATCTGCCTTACTTGTTTCAATGAGTCCTACCTTTCCTTTTACTGGTAATGGTCATTAGGATACCCTTCTGACCTTAGTTAAAGGATGATGTATGTAACAACCCTTGGTTTCTTCAGTGCAACCTTCCTCAACTCTTAGGACACGAGTGCCATGACCTTCACATTATGGCTCTTAGCTCGGTGTTTTTGTGGGAATCCTAAAAGTGGAAGAGGGGTGTCTTTGTCTCTTTCATCTGTTTTTTTTTTTTTTTACCCATTTGCTACTATGGGGATGCCTAGCCCAGCCTTGATGTGTGTTTGTGCCTAGTCTTATTGTACTGTGTCATGCCATTTTTAGTTAATATTCCTGTCTGGCCTGTTCTTTTCTGAAGGAAAATGCAGGAGCCGTGGGTCTGGCGGAGAGGGAGGTGGAGAGGAATGGACAGAGGGGAAACTGGTCAGGATGTATCATATGAGAGACTAAATGTTTAAAAAGCAGGTCCTATGTGGCTAAATTTCCCCTTGTGCCCCCCCCCTTCTCCATGCTCCCTTACCTCTCATCAGTTTCTCAGTCATTCTGAAGAGGTCTTGCCTATTGATACAATCAAACAGTCTGGCTGCAAAGGCCCATGCCAGTCCTGGATAGTGTGTGTGCAACAGTGTTTCCATGTCTTTCCTTGAAGACTTCTCAATCGTAGTCCAAGGGATCATAGGCTTCAGTTTAAATTGCTCTTGCACTTCCTTGTACAGCGATTTAAATCTCAGGAACTCTGCATTGCTGAGCATTTGCAGGCAAAGATTCAAGCCATAACCTGTTGTTTCCTCCATCGGGGATGATGAACAGAGACTTCAGTGGTTAATGAATCTCCAAAACCAGGAAGTAAGTGACACCTGGACAAGAATGGCATGAGAAGTCTCAACTTAAAAAAGCTCAGATTTATTGATGTCACGTATCCGTTCCTTCAGATATGGGAGGGTAACTTGGAATGGTATGCAAAATTAAAATTAAATTTTTAAATATTATATCAATGAAAATTAAATTTTAACCTGTTCTTTCTCAATACTTTAGCACTATACATGATTAGTGGCTAATCTTTCTTCATGTCCAGACTTTGAAACCTTAAAGTAGCTTTTACAGACAAGAAAAAAGGCACTCAAGTGTCAATTGTCAAATCTCACATTACAAGTTGAACATTGCATATTATGCTTCCAAAGAGGTTGGGAATCGGGTCTACAAAATTGTCATGAAAATGCTTAATATAAGTTGACAGTTGAGAAAAATTGTCTTTAAATACTTTATGAAAAAAGTGTTTATAACTATTTATGATTTAATAAAGCCACTGAGTGTCAAAAGACAAGTTTGCAACAACCACAGAGCCAGGCAGTGCTGTTGTAAAATTTTAGCCCCAGGACTTGCTAGACAGAGGCAGAGGTATCTCTTACTTCAAGGCCATACTAGGCTACACAAGATTTATCCAGTCTAAAGAGAAAATGGCTCGCACAAATGTGATCTCAGCATTTGGAATTATTCACCTTTAATTCCAGTACTAGAGAGGTGGAGATAGTGATATTGCAGGGCAGAGAGGGAATATAAGGCAGAAGGAGATAGAGGATTGCAGTATGATGTTTGATGGAGAACAGTGCAGTCTGCAGTGTACTGAGGATTCCTGGTGGCTGGATGACCTATTTCTGTCTTGGTAGAGGTAAGAGACAGTGACTGGCTGCTTTGCTTTTCTGATCTTCAACTTGAAGTCCAATATCTGTCTCTGAGGTTTTAGTATTCATGCCAAACCTAGGCTTAGATGCCATATGGTAACTTCCATTCAAGAACAAGGGGGAAGCCCACTAAGATATGAAAATAACAGTACATAATTCCTGGTTTGAGTCCAAGCACTTTGCAGGAGACGGACAGAGAAGTAAGACACAGGGATGTTTGCAAGGGAGGGAGGATGGACAGAGGAAGGAGGGAGGGAGGAAAGACAGAAGACGGAGAAGGGGGGATTGAAGACCGAGAAGGGGGGATTGAAGACCGAGAAGGGGGGATTGAAGACCGAGAAGGGGGAGGGAAGAAGAAGGAAGGGAAGATGGAAAGGGGAGGGAAGACAGAAGAGAAAGAGAAAAACTCTTAACATTAACTCTACCATCTGCCACTGCACTAGAAGATATATTCAGACATAGCAACAAAAAAACTACAAAAGGTTCACATGGAACTCACAACTGATTAGAACAGCTCCTATTTAACAAATAATTGTGAGGTTTCATGAAGACACTGGGAAAATGAACTTAATTGAATATAAAACAAATCCAGTATTGAATAGAAACCAAATCCAGTATAACTACAAACATACGAAGACAGACACTGAATTCTTGTTCCCTTCACTCCATGGCAATGCTGCCCTAAGAAACTGCCATGTTTAATTGCATGATTCACATCACTGGCACTACTAGCTCCACAATCATTTATAGTCTTCTATCAGTTAAAGAAGAAGACCCATCCCCTGTTAAACACTAATCTACATTCTATCCCGTGGACTCTGTCTTCATCCCGATCTTTGTGTTTTATTTATTTATTTATTTAGAGACAGGGTCTCACCATGTAGGCCTGGCTGGTTTGGAAATTGCTATATACACCAGGCAGAACTCAACCTGGGATTTCAATCTTGACTTGTAATCTCTGCTGGGGTTAAAGGTGTGTGATACAACAGCCCAGTGACGACATTCTTTAAAAATGTTACCTAATCCTTGCATGTAATAATGAGACATCACGAATGTTTTCATAGAAGAGTACATTGTACTTACCCTGATCCACATCGCTCTACATAGTTTTGCTCTGTTACCTCTACTGTTACTCCCTTACTGTCCCCTAGACTATTTCCTCCTTTGATAACAGATAGTTAAACGGTCATAAAGATACGTATTTTCTATATAAATATAAACTATAATACATGCATGCATATATGTAGCATTTTAAATATCTAAAAAGACCCTATGACTCATATTGTTAGAGAAAACACAACACATTGTCTTTCTTGGCATGACCCCCACATGGTTCCTATCAATCCGCAGGCCCATCCAGTTTCTTACAATGACACAGCTTTGAATTTGTGGCTAAATAAAATTTGACTGTGTGGAAAAGTATTTTCTACTTTAGTTGATACATAGAAATGACTCTCATCACAAGGCAACTTTGCAAAGTTTTAATACATTTCTATTCTGGGTAATGTCTACATCACAGAAACACACCTGTCTCTTCAAACACAGATAATTACAGTGAAAACATCAAAAATCCTTCCAAAATTATTGAAACATATACATACTATTGATATCTATAGTCAGCAAACTACAGTGTAGAACACCAGACATGTTGGTAGTTTAAATTTGTTAGTCTAACTTCTCATTAAATAAATATTGACATAATTCACATATGAAGTAATACTGTAATAGAATGACTGGATACAGTGTTTTAATGAATTATTAGTTTAACTTTACTGCTTCCTTTTACTGTATGGGTATTGTGGGTTTTTGAATGCATATGTATGTGTAATCCACAGGAGCTGGAGTTACAGGCAATTGTGAGCTGCCTTGTGGGTGCTGGGAAATGAAACCAGATCCTTAGGAAGAAGAGGCAGTGCTCTTCTGCATTGAGTCAACTCCCCAGCACTCGACTTGATATAGTGGTAAACGGCATGAACAAGGGGAAATTTTAAGGTCCAGAAAGCCCTCCCATGGAGTACTTTTATTTAAAGACACTTTCTAAGTGGATCAGTGCAAGCAATGTCTGCAGTATCAGTCATGTAAATTTCCTGTTACTCTAAAGGCCAATGACATTCAAAAGAGCCTGGCCTTGACAATATCGACATCAGAAGTGCACATAAACATTGTGAGAAAAAGAAATAATGATATATTTATTTTCATTTTACACACATTGGTGTTTTGCCTGCATGTATGTCTGTGTGAGGATGCCACAACCGCTGGAAATGGAGAGGCAGATAGTTGTGTCTTGCCATGTGGGTGCAGAGAATTGATCCTGGGTCTGTTGGAAGAGCAGCCAGTGCTCTTAAGCACTGAGGTATCTCTTAAGAACTGAGTAAAAAAGAAAAAGAAAAAATCCTGAACCTGGAGAGATTGCTCAGCACTAAAAAGCACTGGTTGATTTTGCAAAGGACCCAGATTCAAATCCCAGCACCCATATAGCATCTCACAGGTGCATGGAAACTTCTGTTTCAAGGGACTTGATAGCCTCTTCCGGCCTCAACAAGGACCAGGCACACAGATGCCAGAATGATATTATGTAAGGCAAAATCTTCATACAGTAAAAATAAATAAAGAGAAGAATGTGAAAAAAACCTTGCCTGTGGCCCGATCATCCTGAATGGGCCTGATCTTGTCTCATCTCAGCAGCTATGCAGGGTGGGACTTGGGTGGTCCTTGGATGGGAGACTGCTTGAGAATATGGGTGCTGTTGACTTGAAATGGACAGACACTTCATATCCTCTTTCATTAATCCTGTGTCTCAATGCCTGCATTCAACCTTCCTCATTCAACACTTAATACTGTCCTCTTGGTCTTTGGTCTCTGAGCTATGGCCATACTCACATCTCTTTACACATAACATCGGAAATGAACAGGAAATGCCTTGTCTTTTCTATCAAAGGGTTACATGCCACAAAACTTCACTTAAGAACCAATTAAAAGACACTGGTTGGCAGAAATTTGAGTTCCTCCAGGGTCTGCACTTCTCAAATGAACATATGTGATCAACATTACACAGGATGTTCAAACTTTCCTCCTGTTTGTCATTGCCCTGCTTTAAGTTAGCCAATCATATGAGGGTCATCAGTGGGCCCAAAATGAGGTATATGACCTCTCCTTTTAGAAATAAAATCCCAAAGGGACCCCCACAGGGTGTACTAGATTTGATGTGACTCTGTTCCACTTTGCAGATGCAAAAGTTTTTAAACTTGGGTTTTAATGATGTGTCCACATGCATGTCTATGTAACCTCATGTACTTGATGCCCTCAGAGGCAGGAAGAGGGCATTAAATACCCTGGAATTAGAGCTAAATATGGTCTTGTGCAACCATGTGTGTGTCTGGAACAAAACTCGGACCCTGTGAAGGAGCCTTTCAGATTTTCATTAAGTAGATCTTAGATGACAATTCACATGGCATTTGCCTTCTCTGATAGATTACCCCTCAAAGAGGAGCTGGATATGGTCATATATATTGTAAAGAAATGTCAACTTGGCTACAAGACACACCCAAATTTCAGCAACCAAGAGAATCAACTAGATGCAGAATATGTGAATGTATGCTCAGTGAAGTCATGTAAAGTTCTTTGTCATCACTAATCAAACTTCAAATGGACACCCTCTCCCATCCATGAGCAGGGTAACCATCACAGCATCAGAAAAAATTCAAATATCACTTTCTCAATCAGGAATAATAGTATCCCATTAAAAAATCAATACACACTGGCATAGGTGACTGCTTCCTAAATGTAACACCAGAAGCATAGACACTGAGCAACAATTAATAAATGAGACCTCCTAAAACTGAAAAGCTTCTGTAAGGCAAAGGACACTGTCAATAACACAAAATCACAGTATACAAAATGGGAAAAAAACTTCCCAACTCCACATCTGTCAGAAGACTGATGTCAAAAATAGAAAGAACTCAAGGTACTAGACATCAAGAATTCCAAACACACGGATCTCAATTAGCCAAAAGACATCTTAGGAAGTACTTAACATCCTCATTATAGAAATGCAAATCAAAACAATTTTGAGACACCATCTGGCTTGAGCTTATGTTGAAGAAGATGTGTAGCCAAGGAAACACTCTTCCACTGCTGGTGAGAGAGCAAACTTGTATATCCAGTTTGGAAAACAGCATGGTGGCTTCTAAGAATCAGCCTACCCCAAGACCCAGCAAAACCACTCTTGGGAAACACCTAAAGGACACTATCATACCACAATGACACTTGATTGGCAGTGTCCATAGCAGCATAATTTGTAACAGGCAAACATGGAAACAGCTTACATGCCCCTCAACTGAAGAATGGACAAGGAAAATGTGGTACATTTACACTGTGGAATACTATTCAGCTCCAAAAATATGATGGCCTCATGAAATTTGCAGGCAAATAATGGATCTAGAACAAAACCATCCTGAATGAGGATACCCAGATTCACAAAGAAAAGCACAGTATATATTCACTAATAAGTGGATATTAGATGTAAAGGATAGCTAAACTACAATCCACAGCTCCAGACAAGCTGAGTTAACAAGGAAGACCAAAAGAGCAACACATGGATGAACCTGGGGAGGGCAATAGATGAGATCTACTGGCTATACTGGGTGGGGGTCAGTAAGGAGAAGGGGAGGAGGAGTGAGGACATGGGATGGTTAAGGGGAGTATGTAGTTGAAGAGCAATGAAAGATATATCATAATAGAGAGAGCCTCTATGGGCTTAGGGAGAAACCTGGTGCTAGGGTAATGCCTGAGAATCCACAAGGATGACCCCTGCTAAGACTCCTAGCAATAGTAGAGAGGATACATGAGCTGTCCTACCTCTGTAAGCAGATTGGGGAGTACCCCAACTATCATAGACCCTTAACCGGTGATTGATGGTACCAGACATAGAGATCCATAAATAAGCAGCAGCCTGAGCACCAGAAATACAGTCAAAGAGAGGGAGAAGGGAATATATGAGCAAGGGAGATCAAAATCATGATGAAGAAATCTATAGAAAAAGCTATACCAAACATGTGGAAACTTATGAACTCTAGAGAATAGCTGGGGAGACTGCAGTAGACCCAACTAGGTCCTCTATATGAGGGAGACACCTGTGAAGCATGGACTATCAGATGGACCCATGGCAGTAGGATCATGATACAAACATGGTACATGACCTAGCTTGTTGAGTACATTCACTATGGTAGGCTGCCATGCTCAACTTCAATGCACTGGAGAAAGGCTTGTCCCTGCCCCAACCTATTGTGACTCTGTTGACTTCACGTGTGAGCCTTTAGTCTTGAGGAAGAGTGGACAGGAGGTAGGCTGGGGAGTAAGAGGAGATCTGGAGGATGGGGGGCAGAGAACTGTGGTCGCAGTGTCAACTGAAATCAAAATAAAGTTTAAAAATAGAAAAAAAAACAGAAAAGGAACCCTGCCTTTGTCCTACATTTTCATCACCTAGAATCCATTCCCCAGTAACAAATGCGTGCATGCTTGAAGACGTATATTTTAATAAGTAAACATTACCAACTTTATTTAAATGCCCAAAACTATGAAAATAGTCAAATAATGCTTCACTGAATTAGTGCAAATAAATACTCTGAATTAAAATTTGACTGGATCCCAAATGGAACTATTTTCTGCTACACAAAAGGAGTTCACACTCCTGGCAGAGAGCACAGGGTAGCCCTCAATGTAACTGATAATCAGCTTTGCCCATCTCACCGCCTCTGGAAATAGAGTTGATGCTGCACTTGTTGAGTAAAATTTTCATTGCACTCCAACATTTACAACATTTAAGAGCTGACAGTGCATAATTACCCATTAGAGGATAAGCAAATCAGCACATTGTATCCTCACATGGTGGTATTATTTGTCTTCCCTAGGGAAGGAAATATGGGCATGGACTATTGCATGCCCTTACCTATAAAGGGGATGGTAAATGAAAATCATTTATCTGTAAATTATCACATTACACTCTTTGGAGTTACATGGATCCAATTCTTAGGTCTGGAAGGTAGAGTCTACAGAGTGGAGGAAGAGAAGGAGAACAAGAAGCTGGTTTCTGCGTAGCATGTTGGCCACTTTCTGGAGATCTATGGGGGTGATGGAGAGCCAAAAAGCAAGTATATTAAAACTCTGAACAATGGTTCCAAACTACTAACAATGCTTAATGTAATGGGTGTCATTCCATTGTATTTTACTATACACTCTTTAAAACCTCACATGCCCCAGATCTCTCTCCAGTCATCTTTCCCTATTGCGATTGAGATCTTCCTGGAAGGTTCAGGATCTCCCACAGATGACTCAAATGCTTGATGCTTGTTCACATTTACCCTCTCAATGCATCCCACAGTCCGCATGGAGGCTCTTAAAAAACTCTATGGACCCATCATGCTACTTTTAGGGTAACACAAGTGCCCTTAATGGACCCATCACACTGACTTTAGGATCTCGCTAATTATCATTTCAAACCATGGACCACAGTGGTCCTGGCAACACCTGCCTCACTTCTCATTGAGGACAACACCTGGCTCAGTCCACCTATTACCACTGCCTTGTGGTCAACAGGGAGGAAGCTTGCAGGAAAAATGAAAGTTCTGTCAGTTGACATGAAGTTAGGATTTTCAAGAACTACTGGGCACCAAAATTTTAACTACAAAGCCTACCAGCCAAATAATAGCAACAGGTTTTATACTTCATTCAATTTCTCCCAAATATTTTCATTGCTTTCATTCCTCTGCCAGGTTCCCTTCACCTCACAATCATACATGGCTTAGTCAACAAGTCTGAGAAACAGACCTTTCACTTTTCCTGATCTGCCCTTCTACGCTTAATTCTCCAAATATCCACAGCTTCCAAATCTCTATGCCTTCAGTTAGTACTTGCAAGGCATGGTCTCCAGAAATCCAGACAGTCCTCAGACCAAACATGGATCTGAGCATAGGCCTGAAGTTCTGGAAATACAGTGTCCACCTCCCAAGTGCTGAGATCATACTTTTGCCCAGTTTGATACAATGTTGAAGGAATCCCAGACTTCATGCCCTCCAGGCAAGCACCTCCAATGTTACGTTCCCTGCCTTGAATAATTTAATAAAAATCTTATGAGCCCTGACTCCTTTGGGAGGAATTATTTTCTTTCATTCAAGTTAGATTTCAAAAATATAGAAGTTAATGTTTACCTACATGTATTTTGAGGCCAGGTCTCACTACGTAGACCTAGCTGGCCCGAACTCTGTATGTACACAAGGGTTGCCTCAAACTCTCAGAGGTCTGCCTGGCTCTGCCATTAAAGGTGTGCGCCACCATGCCCAGCCTACTGCAGCTATATTTGGGGGTTGGGGCATGCATGTGTTATGGTGCACATGTGAAGGCCAGAACCTTTTGGGAGTCTTGTCTCTTTTTCTACCAACTGCATTCCAGAGAGGGAACTCAGGTATCCAGGCTTTGTAGCAAACACCTTCACTCACACTGCTATCTCACCTGCCCAAGGGAAAGCTGGGCATTTAAAGGGAAAAAATGCTGGGGGAACAATCTCTATAAATCCACATACTTCCCTTTGAGTACTTCCACATAACAACACAAGGAAAGAGGTTATCAGTTCTGGAGCCCCCCACTTCTGACCAGTCCTCCACAGAAATAAGAGTACCAATGAAAAACAATACAGTGAAGGTGCAATTATCTGTACGGACTTACATAAACCACGAGACAGATCACAGTCAATAGTGAATGAGGGTCGAAGGAACTCCCCGGTGGTTCTGTAAACCATCTGTAAAGCACTGAGTGGAGAAAGCAGCAGAGAGTAAAACCATTGCACTAGAGGAAACGAGTTCCTTACCCAGTCTGCAAAGCGTCCTATGGGCTGCTTCTCATCACAGACCACCTTGGAAACTAACAATAAGAAGTCAGTCTAGCTTGTTGATTGGTGGTCGACTCTCTCCCCTTCATTGGCTGCTAGGGCTCTATCATGGCCCGCAGGCTTTGTAAAAAGGTTTTGCCTGTGCTCTCAGGTCCCAGGTGTAAATGATCACCCCCAGGTTGCCATCTGGAAACTTCCATGATCTTAGTAATATGATAACTGTAACTATAACATCACACCGTGTTGTTAGTATAAACCTAGGACTTCTCTGGACAACCTTCTGCTCCTGAAGAGGGAGAAAATTCATGGGCTCCATCCTGTATGTAATCTGTATATCTGCCTTCCTTTTTGTGATTCTCCAAGGCAAAGTCCTTATTGATCTGAACTTCTATGTTTCTGAAATATAACTTGAAAGAAAATAATTCCTCCCAAAGGAGTCAGGGCTCATAAGATTTTTATTAAATTATTCAAGGCAGAGAATGTAGCATTGGAGGTGCCTGCCTGGAGGGCATGAAGTCTGGGATTCCTTCTTCAACATTGTATGAAACTTAGCAACAGTATGATCCCAGCACTTAGGAGGTGGAAAATTCAGTTCCAGAATTTGAGGGCTATGTTCAGATCCATGTTGAGTCTCAGGCCTGTCTGGGTTCCTGGAGACCATGCCTTGCAAATACTAATTGAAGGATATTTGGATAATTAAGGGTAGAAGGACATACCATGTAAACTGAAAGGTCTGTTTCTTAGACTTGTTGGCTAAGCCAGGTCTGATTGTGAGATGAAGGGAACCTGGCAGAGGAATGAAAGCAATGCAGTTATTTGCGATACAGTGAATGAAGCATAAAACCTATTGCTATGGTGATTTGGCTGGTAGGCTTTGTAGTTAAATTTGGTGCTCAGAAGTTCTTGGAAATCCAAGCTTCATGTGAAATGACAGAAATTTCATTTTGCCCTCAAACTTTCTCCCAGTTGACCACAAGGCAGTGATAAAAAGTGGACTGAGCCAGGTGTTGCCCTGAGAAGTGAGGCAGGTGTGTTCAGGACCACTGAGGTCCATGGCTTGAAGTGATAATGAGCAACAGCCTAAAGTTAGTGTGATGGGTCCAATGAGGGCGCTTGTGTGACCCTAAAAATAGCATGATGGGTCCAAAGAGTTTTAAGAACCACCATAAGGACTGTGGGATGCATTGAGAGAGTAAAGCTTAACAAGCATCAGGTATTTGAGTCATCTATGGGAGATCCTGAACCTTCCAGGAAGATCTCAAGCCCAATAGGAAAAGATGACTGGAGAGAGATCTGGGGCATGTGAGGTTTTAAAGAGTGTATAGTAAAATACACTGGAATGACACCCATTACATTAAGCATTGTTAGTAGTTTGGAACCATTGGTCAGTGTTTTTATATACTTACTTTTTTGGCTCTCCATCACCCCCATCCATCTCCAGAAAGTGGTCAACATTCTACAAGAAACCAGCTTGTGTTTCCCCTTCTCTTCCTCCACTCTGTAGATTCTATCTTCCAGACCTAAGAATTGGATCCACATAACTCCAAAGAGTGTAATGTGATAATTTACAGATAAATGATTTTCATTTACCATCCCCTTATAGGTAAGGGCGTGCAATAGCACATGCCCATATTTCCTTCCCTGGGGAGGACAAATAATACCCCCATGTGAAGATACAATGTGCTGATTTACTCATCCTCTGATAGGTACCTAGCCACTGTCAGCTCTTAACTGTTGTGAATGTTGGCATGCAATAAAAAATTTTACTCAACAAGTGAACTCGTGAAGTATCAACTCTATTCCCAGAGGTTGTGAGATGCATAAAGATGATTTTCTAATACATTGAAAGCTCCCCTGTGCTCTCTGCCAGGAGTGGGAAATCTTTTGTGTAGCAGAAAAGAGCCCATTTGGGATCCAGTCAAATTTTAATTCCCAGTGTTGTTTAATTGCACAAATTCAATGAAGCATTATTGACTAGTCTCATAGTTTTGGGTATTTAAGTTTGGATATTTAAAAACATTATTTCAATGAAGTTGATAAGATTCATTTATTAAAATGTACATCTTTGAGCATGCATGTACTTTTTACTTGGGAATGGGTTCTAAGTGATGAAAAGGCAGGGTTCCTTTGCTGATGTTTTTTCAATTTTTAAACTTTATATTAGATTTCATTTGGCATTGCAACCACAGCTCTCTGCCCCCCCATCCTCCAGACGCCCTCTTCCTCCCCAGTCTGCCTCCTATCCACTCTTACTCAAGACTAAGGGCTCACACATGGAGTCAATAGAGTCTGTCACAAAAGGTTGGGGCAAGGCCAAATACTTCTCCCATACATTAAAGTTGAACATGGCAGCCCACCATAGGGAATGTGCTCCAAAAAGCTGGGTCATGTACCAGGTTTTTTCATGACCCTTCTTCCATGGGTCCCTCTGAGTGTTCAAGCTTCACACGTGTCCACCTTATATAGAGGGCCTAGTTGGGTCTACTGCAGTCTCCCCAGCAATTGGTCTAGAGTTCATGAGTTTCCACATGTTTCGTAAAGCTGTTTCTATAGATTTCTCCATCCTGATCTTGACTTCCCTTGCTCATATATTCCCTCCTCCCTCTATTCTACTGGATTACTGGAGCTCAGGCTACTGCTTGTTTATGAATCTCTATGTCTGGTCCCATCAATTACTGGTTGAAAGATGTATGATGATATTTGTGGTACTCCCCAATCTGTTTACAGGGATAGACCAGTTCATGTGTCCTCTCCATTGTTGCTAGGAGTCTTAGCAGGGCTCATCCTTATGGATTCTAGGGCATTACCCTAGCACCAGGTTTCTCCCTAAGCCCATAGAGGCTCTCTCTATTATGATAAACCTTTCCTTGCTCTTCTACTGCCATGCTCTTCTACTGCAAACCCCCTCAACCTTCCCATCCTCCCATGTCCTCATCCCCTCTCTCCTTCCTACTGGCCCCCACACAGTTTAGCCTGTAGATCTCATCAATTGCCCTTCCCTGGCTCATCCATGTGTTGCTTTTTGGGTCCTCCTTTTACGTAGCTTCTCTGGAGCTGTGGATTGTAGTCTAATTATCCTTTACTCTACATCTAATATCCACTTATTAGTGAATACATTCTGTGTTTGTCTTAGTGAGTCAGGGTAGCCCCAGTCAGGATAGTTTTGTTCTAGATCCATCATTTGCCTGCAAATTTCATCAGGTCATCATTTTTGGAGTGGAATTGTAAGTATTTCATTGTGTAAATGTACCATTTTTTTCTTGTCCATTCCTTGTTTGACAGGCATCTATGCTGTTTCCGTATTCTTCCTTTACTAATTATGCTGCTATGAACACTGTCAAGCAAGTATCATTGTGGTATGATAGTTTCCTTTAGGTGCTTCCCAAGAGTGTTGTTGCTGGATTTTGATTCCCAATTTTCTTAGAAGGCACCATACTGTTTTCCAAACTGGATATACAAGTTTTCTCTCTCACCAGCAGTGGAGTAGCGTTCCCTTGACACCATATCCATTAAGCTGTCCTCATTATTTTTGACCTTAGTCATTCTGACAGAAGCACGATGGTCTCTCATAACTGTTTTGATTTAAATATCTCTGATGAGATTGTTAAGCACTTCCTAAGATATATTTTGGTTATTTGATATCCTTGTTTTGAGAATTCTTTAGCTCTCTTTCCCATTTTTCACTTGGTTTATTGTGTATTTTGCTGTATAGTTCTTTGAGTTCTTTCTATTTTTGACATAAGTCTTTCATCAGATGTGGGGGTGGAATGATATTTTCCATTCTGTAGACTGTCATTTTGACTTATTGACAGTGTCCTTTGCCTTACAGAAGGTTTTCAGTTTCAGGAGGTCTCATTTATTAATTGATGCTCGCAGTGTCTATGCTACTGGTATTATATTTAGGAAGCAGTCTCCTATGTCAATGTTTTTTATTGACTTTTATGGGATACTATGATTCCTGATTGAGAAAATGATATTTGAATTTTTTCTAATGATATGATGGCTTCCCTGCTCATGGATGGGAGAGGGTACTCATTTGAAGTTTGATTAGTGATGAGGAGGAACTTTGCATGACTTCAAGGAACATACATTCACCTATTTTGAATCTAGTTGCTTCACTTGGTTGTTGAGATTTGGGAATGTCTTTTAGCCCAGTTGTATTTCTTTGCAATATATATGACCATATCCAGCTGCTCTTTATGGGGTAATCTATCGGAGAAGGCATCTAAGAGCCACATAATGAAAATCAGAAAGGCAGTGAATTGATCTCAAATAGCAGAGAGAAGCATGGTTAGCACTCTGGGGAGAGGATAGCAGGGATTGAAAAAGACTACCCAATGAGCACTATGCTAGGTCATAAGAAAAATGAGTTCTAATAATGAGAATGTGATGTGTATATAAAAATGGAATATTACTTAGTTTTAATTAATGAAGAAATCATTTCATTCATAGGAAATCTATAGACATGGGCTGGAGAGATGGCTCAGCCGTTAAAGGCTAGGCTCACAACCAAAAATATAAGGAAATCTATAGACATGGAAAGTATATTAAGTGAGATAACCCAAACTTAAAACAGAAGCAAACAAAAGCAGCATGCTTTCCGTCATGAGGGCCCATTGCTATAATAGCCTAGGAGCAAGGTTTTGCTTCTGGGGCTGAAAACGAGGCTCAGCAGTTCAAAGTACTTGCTGCACCTTCACAGAGCCCAAGTTTTGTTCCGACACCCATATGGTTGCGTGAGATCAAATGTAGCTCCAGTTTCAGGGGATTCAATGCCCTATTACTGGCTCTGAGGGCTTCAAGCATATGAGGTTACACAGACATGCATGTGGGCACATCATTCAAACAAATACACCCATTTTTAAAAGGGCAATGACAAACAGGAGGAAAGTTTGAGCATCCTGTGTAATGTTGATCACATTTGTTCTTTTGAGAAGTGCAGACCCTGGAGGAACTCAAATTTCTGCCAACCAGTGTCTTTAAATTGTTCTTAAGTGAAGTTTTGTGGTATGTAACCCGTTAATAGAAAAGACAGGCATTTCCTTTTCATTTCCGATGTTATGTGTAAAGAGATGTGAGTGTGGCCATAGCTCTGAAA